CCAGGACTGCCACTGGCATTGTTGATACGCTGCAGGGAAGAAGAAAACCACTAGAGTGATGACCGGAGGGAATCAGTGTTTTCTAAATACCCAGTGGTGGCCTTGGCTGTGCTGCAAGGTGCCTATCCTTACAAGCTCAGATGGGGCTGAGTTAATCTGTGGGGAGCCCTCAGGGCCCTGCGATTACACCCCAGGCCATCTTGGGGCGAGGGCTGGATGTTGGTAAGCTTTGCCTTGCAGCAGCTGCTGCTGTATTATTCATGGAACCACCTGCATTATTCATGAAGCTTGGAAAGCCATGCTTTAGGTTCCACAGGACTGCACCCAAAGCCCTGGCTAAAGGCTCCCCTGCTTGAGACCTGGTTCAGTGGGAGGAGGGACACAAGATGGACAGCATCATTTAGACTTAGGATGTGCCGGTCTTTGCTTCTTGCCCACCTCACCATTTGAATCCTCTCTTGTCCAGATACAGACGATTGTGAATTTGCTCAGTGGGCTGTCTAGGGTGTCATTGTTTTAAGACTCAAAATGCTTTCTGCTGTGTGTGTGTCTTGTTCTCTTGGAGGACAGTCCAGAGGGATGGGGGGAAAGCCCCACAGGTCTTTTGCAGTTTCCCATAAACTCAGTTGGAACAAAGGACCAGGTTTCAGGGTGCATCCCAGCTGCTGGATCAGGTCCTGTAAGCAGGACCCTGGGGGGAAAGGATGGAAGGAAGCAGAAAATTTGTACAAAGCCTTTGCCTGGCAGCATCCTTGGCACATTCCAAACATCTCACCTAATTCTCCGACCAGCCTCAGGACATTCTGATGCTGTCTGCCTTTGGGGGGCCATGAGATGCTGGGATGTGCAGCAGTGCAGGGACCAGACGGGAGGCAGCACCACATCAAGTGCTGTGTGACTTGCGGCAATGCAGCCAAGCCCCTCGCCTGTCTAGTCTTTTCCACCCAGGTGGATAATTTGTATTTTTACACCTACTTAATAATGAATGACTGCATCTTGTCAAGTGAGCAGCTGGGAAAATCCAGGCTGACCTGGTTCAGTTCGCATATATTCAAGCATCTGGACCCTCCTTGTCATTCCAGCAGGGTGGCCAGGCCTCTCCTTGCAGCCCCCACAGTGTGAGCCCACACCGCACCACCTCCTCCAGCCTCTCTTTCCTGCACACACTGGGCAGCTCATCTGACCTTCTGCTCTCCTTTTCGTGAGGGTTAAGTGAAATAATGCGTGGAAGGCATTTAGTCTAGTGTTGGCACTATGGCGAGTGCGATGCTAATATTATGATCCTATAATGTCTATTACTTCCCTCTCATTTTTTCCTGCCTACCTTTTCTGTTTTTGTGTCTCATGTCCAGTCACACAGGCATCTTGACATAACCCCAAGGCAACACCTCCAAGGCTTCTTGACCTCATCCTTCCCTTTCTCCTTCTAAGACCTTGATCTCTCCTTCCCCAGCCTCACCCCCATCCCAACCTCATTTCTAATGTGTCCTCTCTTCCTTTTCGCTGGTTCTTTCTCTTCTGTTTTGAACCAAAGACAGCTCTCCCTGCCATTGATTTCCTGTCTCTTGGAGCTTAAAATCTTGGGGTCATCTTTCACTTTTTCCTCTTCTTTTATCCCCTACAAAGCACCACGTACCATTTTGCCTTCCTTGTGATGTTTACTGGATCTTCTCTTCCCTCTCTCCAGTTTTTCTCACTCCACTCTAGGCCTGTATTAACTAGGCAGAAGTTCTCAAGTGGTGATCCAGGGTGTCCTGGGGGGCCTTAAGACCTTTTCAGGAGACTGTGAAGTAGAATCTATTTTCATAGTAACATTGAGCCATTATTTGCCTTTTTCACTCTCACCCTCTTATGAGCGTACCGTGGAGTTTTCCAGAGGCCACAGGACGTGATAACATCATGGCTCTGATGAGGCATGGAGTTTGTGCTAATGTATTCTGGAGTGTTACATCTTTCTCAGGGTTAATTTCTAATGGGTAAATAGTGATAGACATGACTCACATAAACAACAGCTCTTTGAGGCCCTCAGTAATTTTTTCGGGAGAGTGAAAGGAGTTCTGAAACTAAAAGTTTGAGAATTGACCTGGACCCTGCCAGTCTATATGGTGCCTATGTGTGAGTTACAAAAGATGCCCCATCTGGATGCATGTAGCTGTGGGTCAGGGTTACAGCTGGGTCCGGCCAAGAGTGTGCAGAGTGGATTTTATCCTCTGTTTATCCCTTTGGTTGAGTACTTTGAGAAATGCTCAAACTACACAACTGTACATGTTGACCCGTTGTTTATAAGTAATCCTAACTGGCTTCTCAGTCTCTAGTTTTCCTCTTCTCCAGCTTATCCTGTACTTTATTGTTGGATTTCTCTTTTTACAGATTTCTTTGTTCATATTGTTCTCCAGTTCTAGAGGCCTCAATGGTTTTCCCCTGCCTCCTGGATAAATTCCAAATTTCCTGATGTGGCAGTAAAAGTCCTCTACTATCTGGCTTCCACTCGCCCTTCCAGCTTTATTTCCCAGCACTCCTCAACACATTCTCTGTCCTGCTAAGCCTTTCTTTTCTGTTTTCACACCTTACTTTCAACTTCCCTTTGCCTTTGTTACTTCCTTCTACTTACCCCCAGCCCCCGTGCCACCTCCCCCCGCCAACCTGGTCTTTGCCTACATGAGCTCCTGAAGTCAGGGCTCCTAGCTTGCTCCACTCTGCTTCTCCCATGCACCCAGCAATGCCTTGCACATGACAGATGGGGTGGAGAGTACATGAGTTTTGAAGTCCAGCACACTGAGGTTTGAAACTGTGCTGTGTTGCACACCAGCCAAAGGACCTTGCACATGTGACTTAACCCCTCCAAACATCAGAGAGGGCCCCTCCCTCCTTGCAGTTTTGGCCATCTCCCAGGGTTGTTGTAAGAAGCAAATGGCTCAGTAAGAGTTCTTTCCGTTTCCTTCACCTTTCTGACAGAGTACCATGTGCAGAGAGTACTTTTAGGCTAAGAGGATGATACCATGTAGGGGTATTTACACATTCTGCCTCTGGTGTCTTAGTAACTAGAAAGCACTGATTCCTTTCCCCAGGGGCCTCACATTTTCCTGAAAGCTGATTAATTTTGATGCATGCTTAACTATTTTGGAGTTTGTCAGTTATCAAAAATATCCTAGGTCTTAGTGTGGTGTGCCCAAGTGCCCCTCCCTCTGCGTTCCAACAGATTCATCTCCTTGATGGTCCAGAAAGAGAATCATGTTTCCTCTAATGATCCAAGCATTCAGATTTATCTGGTGCTCTTTACTCTGAGTTTTGGATTGATTAATGCTGTTCATCCTCTCCTTAATAATCCCATTGAGGGGGGAGGTGACTTGCTTCAAGTCACAAGGAAAATCAGTGGAGAAGGAGGTCCTTGAAGGTGACTCTTCCCCTATCAAGCATTCTTCTTCACCAGGCTGAGTGCTCCTGAAGGACAGCGACTGTCTTCTTCATCTCTGTGTCAGCAGCACTCAGCCCATGGCCAATTATGGAGCAGGTGCTTATTAAGAATTTATTGGATTTATGGAAGAATAAAGCTGGTCTCAGGAAGGGCTTTGAGCATATCTTGGAAATAGATAACCACCTACTTCCCCAGGGAGAGTCAGCCAGTCTCATTCTCTCTCTTTTTCTATGTCCTTTAACAAGAATTTATATGCCAGGCTCAGTTCTAGGTTAGGGAATGGACAAAACAGGCAATGTTGCTGACCTCAATGGAGCTTAATTTTTATTCAGGGAGACAGATAAACAAACTAATTAAAAATAAATATTTGAAGTGATGCCAGTAGTGATAAATTCTAGAAAAACAAATACAGCGTGGCAAGGGACCAGGCAGTATTAGACTGAGAGAGCCAGCCTTGTAGAGATGTTGAGTAAGAGCTTGGCAGGCAGTGGAAACAGCAAGTGCAAAGGTCCTGGGGTAGGAACAAACCAGTCAAGCAGGTGACCTTTCAGACACCAAGGTCAGTGTGGCTGAAGAGGAGGAGGGAGTGAGGGAAGATGAGGTCAGGGAGATGATGGAGAATGGTGCAGATTATTTAGGACTTTAACTTTGATTTTCAGTGAGATGGAAGGCCATTGGAGGATTTTGAGAAGAGGAGCATCTCGAGCTGATGTCTGTTTGTTTGTTTGTTTTTCTTGAGACAGAATCTCGCTCTGTCTCCCAGGCTGGAGTGCAGTGGTGCCATCTTGGCTCATTGCAAGCTCCACCTCCTGGGTTCATGCCATTCTCCCTCCTCAGCCTCCTCAGTAGCTGGGACTACAGGTGCACACCATCACACCCGGCTAATTTTTTGTTTTTGTATTTTTAGTAGAGACAGGGTTTCACAGTGTTAGTCAGGATGGTCTCGATCTCCTGACCTCGTGATCTGCCCGCCTCAGCCTCCCAAAGTGCTAGGATTACAGGTGTGAGCCACTGGTGTCTCCTTAAAAGGATCTCTTAGACAGTTGCATTAAGTGGGGTGGATTTCTTTCTTTCTTTCTTTCTTTTTTTTAAATTTTGAGATGGAATCTCGCTCTGTTGCCAGGTCGGAGTGCAGTGGTGTGATCTCGGTTCACCACAACCTCCATCTCCTGGGTTCAAGCGATTCTGCTGCCTCAGCCTCCTGAGTAGCTGGGACTACAGGTGTGCACCATCACGCCCAGCTAATTTTTGCATATTTAGTAGAGATGGGGTTTCACCATGTTGGCCAGGATGGTTTCAATCTCTTGACTTTGTGATCTGCCCATCTTGGCCTCCCAAAGTGCTGGGATTCCAGGTATGAGCCACCGCGCTTGGCTGGGTTTCTTTTCTTAACAAATTGAGTTTATTGTTTTAAAACTATAATTTATGGACTTACAAGGATTTTTCCACTTCTTTTGCAACCTTGTTAAATCCCGCCTCCCCTTAATTCTTGAACAGGTAGTGTCCCTCTTGTCCTCGTAGCCCTGGGAAGGTTCTGAGCCATCTTTGGTTCAGAGGTTCCCTTCCCCTCTCTCTTTGCCCACAGGAGGTTGGAGCAGAACTTTTTCAACTGCAGCTGTGACATCCGCTGGATGCAGCTGTGGCAGGAGCAGGGGGAGGCCAAGCTCAACAACCAGAACCTCTACTGCATCAACGCTGATGGCTCCCAGCTTCCTCTCTTCCGCATGAACATCAGTCAGTGTGGTGAGTGAGTGGCCGCCTGGCCCAGCTGGCTCCAGGGAGGCATCCCTCAGACACCAGAGATGGTGGTGGACGTTACCTTGGGATGCCAGAGCCTTCCTTTCGAAATGCCCTTCCAGCCTTGAACTCTGCAGTTGTGTGCAGATCTCCTGACTAACCATTCCCCTTCTTGGTCATTCCTGTCCCTTTGTGCACGAGCCATAGGAAGATTGGTTTCAGGAATGCAGACAGGAGTTAAATGTGCTCCTTCTCATCGTACCAGATTCCCTTTCTCTCTGTGAATTACCTGTCAACCAAACCTGAAGGAGTGTATCTCAAAATGTGGTCTCTGGACTCCCTGTGGCAGCACCTTCTAAGGAGTTTCCAGAAAAGCAGATTTCTGGGCCCAGCCACAGACTTTGAGAGTGTCTGGGGATGGGTCCCAGAAATCTGAATTTTAAGCAAGTTCCCCAATGGGAGACTGAAACACTATTATTTAGATAACCAGAACCCAAAGTGTAATGATGCCATTGAGCTTAATTGCCAGAAATGCATTCCTTGAGCACTGCCCCCACCCCTCCACCTCCCGCTGCAATGTGGGAGACTACAGCTGCACGGGCTTCAATTCTGAGTTCTGATGTCTACTGGGGAGGTGATGGAAAGCGTCTTGGATTTGTGGGTCTTCCAAGAACCCAAGCAGGTGGTGTTAGAGTCATTATTGAACAAGGCAAGAAGTGCCACCATCAGGCCTATGGACAGAGCTTCCTTTGGGTAGTAAGTGTTTGCCTGTCTTTTCACCCACTTTGTCTGGCTCCCAGACCTTCCTGAGATCAGCGTGAGCCACGTCAACCTGACCGTACGAGAGGGTGACAATGCTGTCATCACTTGCAATGGCTCTGGATCACCCCTTCCTGATGTGGACTGGATAGTCACTGGGCTGCAGTCCATCAACACTCACCAGGTAGGCATCCTGGGCTTGAGCCCCATCAGGAGGTTAGGGAGTGATCACATTGTAGTCTTGAAGAAGAGGGAAAATTTGTGGTCTTGTTACTATAGGAGAAAACACATAGACTTGAGTTACATGCAGCTGCAATATTTTCTAGCCATTCTGCTCTACACATGCTACTCAACTTCTCTGTAACTTAGTTTTTGCTTCTGTAAAATGGGCATAGTATTGAACTACCATTCACCGCATAGGGTTAATAGGAGGATGGCCTGAACCATTGCCTATGAGAAGCCTGGCATTTGGTAGGTGTGCTTTCACACAAAGATCTCCTTCACCTTCTGCTCAGCTTTCCTTTTGATTCCTAAAGGTATTTGGGGATTAGGTAGCAGAGCCATCTTTGTAGAGGCTGTTTGATTGTTACCTTTTTATTGGGGTTTTCAGACCAATCTGAATTGGACCAATGTTCATGCCATCAACCTGACGCTGGTGAATGTGACGAGTGAGGACAATGGCTTCACCCTGACATGCATTGCAGAGAATGTGGTGGGCATGAGCAATGCCAGTGTTGCCCTCACTGTCTACTGTAAGTGCATATTATTGTGGGGGATGGCTGTGTGTGAGGAAGAACTGGCATAGGAGGCTGGAGAGGGGCCAAGGTGTTGCCAGGGCTGAACTAGAGCAGTGAGCTGGTCTACCAGTGGGGACAGAAGGACTCTTGTAGCACAGGACTGAGAAGTAAGTCCTTGGATTAATAACTCCAGACGGAGCACCCTTGTCCCTCAGACAATGGTGTGGCTCCAACTCAACTACATCTTCAGGACACTTCTAAGTTGGCCTATTCTGCCTTTTATTAAACCCCTAAGAGGTCCCAAGAGGGAGCCCTCCAGCTAAGGTGGATCTAGGAAGCTTGGATGAAGACAGACATTTCTTCCCCTCTGCTGGGATTGTGGTGGGACTTCTGCTTCCCTCAGCCTTTTCAGAGTGGGTGGGGAAGAACTGGGATTCCCATTTTAGTTGCTGGAAGGCTACTGCGGGTGGTGGTAGACTCTGTGTCCTGGATTTCAGCTGGCTTCTCCCTTGACAGATCCCCCGCGCGTGGTGAGCCTGGAGGAGCCTGAGCTGCGCCTGGAGCACTGCATCGAGTTTGTGGTGCGTGGCAACCCACCACCAACACTGCACTGGCTGCACAATGGGCAACCTCTGCGGGAGTCCAAGATCATCCATGTGGAATACTACCAGGAGGGAGAGATTTCTGAGGGCTGCCTGCTCTTCAACAAGCCCACCCACTACAACAATGGCAACTATACCCTCATTGCCAAAAACCCACTGGGTACAGCCAACCAGACCATCAATGGCCACTTCCTCAAGGAGCCCTTTCCAGGTGAGGGCAGTGTAGCTGGCTCAGAGGTGTATGGATTCTTTCTACAAGCTTAGGAGGTGGGGCATGGTAGCTTGAGAGGAGAAGCAACATCAGTACTCATACTGCTATCATGGGCAAAAAGACACACACTGGAACATGTGCAACCACCAGCCGCATCTGGTGTAAACAAGGATAGAGTCTCAATTTTCCAATAGCTGTCATGGTAAAAACCAAGACTCCTTAGAAATAACAGTTGTGCATGTTAGAGCATACTGTATGATAGTAGAGAAAGCAGAGACAGTAATGGTAGAGAATTCTGACCCAGCCCTTTACTTGTGGGGAGACTCTGGGCCTGATAGTTTGCTTTTCTAAGCCTCAATTTCCTCTTCTATGAAATAGTCATGATTACACTGCTCCTGTGACTTTTAAATGAGTCAAGGTATATAAAGCACGTCACAGGGTTTGACACCTGATGATGGTTCCGTGACTTTCCATTGAAAAGGACTTGAGAGTGTGTCCAGTTTAACCCTCCATTTAACAGATGAATGAGCTGAGCCTCATTCTACTTGCTGATCTGTGGCAAAGTTTGACTTGGATCTAGGCCCCGAGGTCTGTGGCTTCATTCCTCTCTTGTTCCATGGTGAGCTACTGTGGGTCATACCTGATGCCCTTAGCATATAATAGTGCTAATGTCAAGTGGACCAGGAAAAATTATTGAAATTACTGAAGAACTTTGCTTGATTTGATTTTGGGAGTTGATTCTGTCTTTTTCTGTCTGGGGTAAGATGCTTTAACTATCTTCCTGAAGTTGGAGGAGATAAAAACATCAAAAGAGTTTAGTGAAAGTGATTGTAGCATCTTTTTGTGGGTTCTGCAATTGATAAGTTTTGTCCATGAAGCCATGGGTCTTTGCTGAGCTTGGTGCTTTGTTTTGGGAAGTGACTAGGAGACCTAGGAATCAGGAGTTCCAATGGGATACAGTGTAAAAACTGATATGACACATACACACATGCACATGCATGCTCACACATGTGCACAAAGGGAAGAGGCAGCAAGAGCTAGCAGTAGGCAGCATCTGTTTTTCTGAAGTCAGCTTCACAGTCTACAAATTACCAGGGTGTGGCAGCTCCAGGAGGCCTTATTTATTTCAGTGCAAGGGAACTCATACTAGAGGCCCCAAGAGTGAAGTTGGAGAAATGTGGCTGCATGTGAAGCTATATTCTTGCCATTGAGGTCCCAGGGATGATGGGGCCATCTTTTCAGAGGCGGTTGAGAATGTGCAGATATTTGAGGCCCTGGAAATCCCACATGGTCTGAAACTTCCATCATCCCCAGTATGCTTAGTGAAAGCCCCCATGACACTTCCCTTCCTGGGTCACACTGGGCTCTCTTTCAGCAGGTAGATGAGTCCTGGCCTGCACTGTGGAAGCAGAGGCTTTTAAAGTGGAGATACTTTGCTCTTATGGTCTAAAAGGGCAGGCTAGGTCTTCCTGACATAAAAGACTGATTTTTATGCCTTTTTTTTTGCCCTGCCTATGGCCTGATGAAAGAATAAAATCTGTTTTTAAAGAGGAAAGGCTATACATTGGTGAGGGAAAGTCTCTATTGGTGAGGAAATGAAGCACACTGAAGCAATGCTTCTGTTTCCAAAGAGAAGCTTCTGGGGCCCAGAGAGGGGGGAACCCTAGAATGCTCAGGAGGGAGGAGAAGCCACTTCTGGGCTCCTTCTACCAGGGGTGTCCTGAGAGTTGTGAGGTAGCAGCAGCTGTTGGATTATGTGGTGGACACAGCTGCTCTGTTCTCTCCTTTATCTCAAGAGGAAGCAATTCTTTGCATCCTCTCAGCCCTCAGAGGTATCTCAGAAATACCTCCTCTGCCCCCATGAGATGCAGCAGCCCCTTCTGTTAGTCTCTGGATACCCTTGTCACCATAGTAAGTTACCAGTGCGCCTCAGGCCAGTGGTTCTCAAAAGTGACCTTTGGTCCTGGACCAGCCCCATCCACATCACCTGAGAATGTGTTAAAACTTAAGTTCTTAAGCGCCACTCACATCTACTGAATCAGAGATTCCAGGGTGGGGTCTAGCAGCTATGTTTTAACAAGCCCCCAGGTGACTCCAGTACTCCCTCCTTTGCAATCTACTACCATGGAATTGGGTGGGAATCTGGCCCCAGGATGATGGAGGGAGGATAGAGTCACAGAGAAACTCAAAGAGAAAGCATCTCACCTGAGGTCATTTCCTCAGACCCATCTCCAACCTGCTAGGGCCACCCTGTGGGAAGGTTTGTTTGTTTTATGAGTCTAGGTCAGAGGAATCAATGGGTGATGAAAAGGCAGTGACAGGGAAAAGATGGGCCAGTCATGCCAAGTGACAAGATGCTTAAACGTTCAGGAGAGTCAATTATCTGGGGGTGCAAGCAGAGATGCGTGATAACCCTCTAAACCGAATTCACCCCAGCTAAGCCTAGATGCAAAGCTGGTCTGTGATTCTTGCTCTTCTCTTTTGATGTGAGAGCGTGGAAACATCATGATTATCATGTGTGTTTCTCTTTTGCTTCCAGGCAGCTAAGCATGGAGGCTAAGAGCAGGCACTCTGAAATCAGACAGACTTAGGTGCAGATCCCATCTGCGGCCTCTCCCAAATATCCCTCGCATCTGGTGGCCTGGGCTCCTAGCATGAGGCTTAGTGCAAGGTCAGTACTAGATGAAGGACAATCACTTCTCTGTGCCTCTATTTCTGTATCTGTGAAATGGGAATGATAATATCTCCTGTCTAAGTTACCATGAGGCTTAAAGGAAGTCATGCCTGCCAAGTGCTTAGCAGTGCATCTGGACAGAGAAAAGGCTTACTAGCTGTGGGCCATTGTTAAGATTCTTAGGATGTAGAACTGAGATGACTTCAAGAGTTCTAGAACCAGTAGTCATTCTCTGGTCAAACTAGTAAGTTCTAACAGATAATCTTAAGGTAGTCTAGGCTAGTGGTGATGGAACCACATTGCCAGGGCTCTAATTCTCACTCAATCACTTGTCAGCTCCGTGATGTCAGGCAAATTGCTTCACCTTCCTGCTTTTACCTTAAAGGTTGTGGTGAAGATTAATTTACAGAAGGGGCCCTTCTTGAAGAGTTATGGTCTGGGACTGTAGGAGACATGTGTATTCCCTTCATGGCACAGCCCCAGTTCACGTTCAGATTGTTCCTTGGTGTGCTGGACAAATGCTCCTCCCAGCCTGCTGGTGTAGCTAGAGGTGAGGACCAGTCCTGGGTACCATCCTCTTCCAGGCTGAATGCCTGAACCCTCCCATAGGTTAGAGAGGAGTCAGGATGTCTCCTTCTTCCAAAGCTCATGTGCTTTCTGGATGTATAAATGCTTCCAGGCTCTGGCAAAGTCCTTAAACATTCATAGGCTGATTTGGAGATAACAGGGTTCACAGCCTTGACCAAAACATTTGGCTAATATGAGAATGTTCGCTAATAAATGGGAGCCTTATGAGACATATGCAAATCAATGTAAACTGTGAACTGATCTGGCCCCTCTCTTCTCTCAGGCTGTGAAACCCAGGCTAGAATTTCCATTTCCTCCATCCTCCCCCTGCCCCAAACAGGCATCTGGTCACCTGCCATTGAGAAGAGGGTGTTGGCATGAAGGGTATGGCCAGGAATGTGAAGATAGCTCTGTGGCTATCCCCCAAAACAATACAGAACAGACAACAAACAAGCAATCGAACTGCGTTTACCATAAGTAAGACTTTCTTTGAAGGATTCCCTCACAGAAACTATCCTATTCCCCACAGGTAGTTAGAGAATATCTGCTGGTTCATACTTAATAGAACTAAGACTGTGAGGGCCCACAATGAGTGAATGAATGAGTGAATGAATGAATGAATATACTCTTACTTTTCAGGGCATGGTGGGCTGAGTCAGGAGGCTGTGTAGTATGATATAGTGCATCCCAAAGGGAACAGCAGCATCAGCGTCTCCTGAAAACTTGTTAGAAATGCAAAATCTTGATACTTACCCCATGTCTACTGAATTAGAAACTCTAAGGTGAGGACTAGTAATCTGTGTTTCTTTTTAATTTTTAAAGATTTTTAACTTTTCATTTTGAAATAGTTTGAAATTCATATTTTAAAAAGTTACAAAATCATACAAGGCACTTCCTTCCACCCTTTGTCCAGCTTCCCCAGATGTTAACATTTTACCTAATCATGATGCAATGATTGAAACCAGGATGTTAACATTGGTCCATCACTATTATCTAGTGTACAGATGTGAATTACAGTTTATCGATTGTCCCATTGAGGCTTTTTCCTTGTCTAGGATTCAATTCAGAATTACACACTGCATTGAGCTCCTGTGTCATCTCACTCTCTTTAAATCTGGGACAGTTCCCCAGTGTTTGTCTTTCATGATCTTGGAACTTTCCAAGAATACTAGTTTTTTGTAGACTGTCTTTCCATTTGGAATTTTCCGATTTTTTTCCCTAATGATTAAATTCTAGCTATGCATCTTTGGCAGGAACTCTGCAGAAGTGATGCTCTGCCCTCTCAGTGCATCGTTTCGGGGCTGTGTGATGTCAATAGGTTTTGGTACTGGGAGTGTTAACTTTATCACTTGGTCAAGGTGGTGTCTGCCAGTTTCCTCTGCTGCAAACAGACGATTTTCCCCTTTGTAAGTCATCAGTATAATATTTTTAAACTACATAAATAACTTGTTTCTCATCCTTCTTTCACACTCTAATTTTAACATTCATTGATGATTCCTGCCTGAAACAATTATTACTGTAGTATTTGTGAAATGGTGATTTTTCTATTTCTATCATTCCTTCTACATTTAAAAATCAGAATTCTCCTGTAAGGAAGAGTGTTTCGTTCTTCCACCTTTTATGTATTGAATTGTTTATTTGTATCAGTATGGACTCATGGATATTCATATTGTTCTATGATTGGTAATTCGTGTATTCGTTTGCTAAGAATGCCACAGCAGTGAAATACCATAGATTGGGTGACTTAAACAACACACATTTATTTCCTCACAATTCTGGAGGCTGGAAGTCTGAGACAAAGGTGCTGGCAGGGATGGTTTCTCCTGAGGCCTGTCTCCTTGGCTTGTAGATGGCAGTCTTCTCTTTGTGTTGTCATGTGATTTTCCCTCTGTGCATGTGTGTTTACGTTCAAATTTCCTCTTATAAGGACATCAACCATATTTGATTAGGACTCACCCTAATAGCCTTATTTTAACTTTAATACATCTTTAAAGACCTTTTCTCCAGATACAGTCACATTCTGAAGTACTAGGGGTTACGGTTTCCGTATATGGATTTTGGGACAACATAATCCTAATCCGTAACAATCCAGGACTATCATCATTTTGTTGCTTAAATGATCCTACACTGGGCCATTGAGATTCCCTGTACATTGGTTTCTGTGCCCTGTCTCCAGGCCTCCATTAATCTCTGAGCACTTTCTTACTTTTTCAGTATTGCAATCCATTCCAGGCACATGTTGTTCTTTCCCTGGTCCAGCCCTGAAATCACCCATTTCTCCAAGGAATCCTCACTCCTTTTATTGGATGTTGGTAGCAATCACCCTCTGATTGCTTCTGTTGTGTGCTAAAGTTTGAGCATCTCTGGTAGAGTGGACAAGAGCCTGGACTGAGATTTGAATTCAGCTCTAATTTCTTCTTAAATGAGTCACATCCAATTAGTTACTTAATTTGTATGAGACTGTTTTCTTATCTGTTAAGTGGGGATAATGCTACCACCTCTTAGAATGGTAATAAGGACTGAGTGATGTGTTACATGAAGCATTTAGCACCGTCCCTGGCTCATCAATGTGCAGTAAGGATTAGCTTTCATTATTAGGTGAGCTATTTCTAGAGACCAAAGATCAAATAGCACATTACCATCTGCAGGATGGGCAGATTCTAGAGGGATTCTCAAGAACTTCTCAAAGACCTACTAGAATCAACTCTGCATATTACTTTGAAGAATTTTATCTTGAGATCATACCTGGCATTTTCAAGGAATGTCTAGAGGAGCCACTCTGTAGCCCCATCCCCAGCACTTTGGGTCTTTAAGGAAGCAGAGCTGTGAATGAGACAGAGGGTCTGGTTTTAATTTCCTATCTCATAATGAAACTGGTTTGGTTTCTTGTTCCTAGGTGGGCCCCCTCCCTTGAAACCAGGAACTTTATCTCTCATTCCTTCTCCTTTTGGAGGACTACCCCCTAAAGTGGTAGTGTAGCGTGGGGAGACAGGTGATGTGCCATGGATTTTAGTTTGTCAGTTGCCATGGGAACAGGGAATCATGGTGAATGGGAGAGATCATAGCTATTAGGACCATGTAGTGTGTCTGTTCTGGTTTTTATTAAATTTGTTAATTATCTCTTTGTCCTTTTTTTGCAGAGAGCACGGATAACTTTATCTTGTGTAAGTCTGCTTTACCTGTTGCTTTGAAACTGATTTATTCTGATACTATCGGTAACTATTGAATTCAAATAGCCCTCTCTCCTATTCCACATCATCCCTGGCCCATGGCAGCTGAGGGCATCTGAGTGAACTGTGAAAGGGAACTGAGGGGTAGCAATACTTTTTGGGCAGTTCCAAGCCCACTTTTCTTGGGTAATCACTCTGTGGTTCACTTTCCCCCAGGGAGTTTTTCTAACATTGACAATGTTGTGGATCTCTTTACCTGGATAAAGAGGGGCTGTGTGAGGATGGACATGGGTTTCATGTGCCTCAATAGACCCCTATTGATCATCTTAGTTGTTCTTGCAGAGAGAATATGGAACTTAAAAACCTGCTAGTGTTTCTCACCTGCTTCAAGAGCCTGAGCATTTGGCCAGGACTCGCCTCATGAGAGCTTGACTTACAAGGTTTCCTGATAGGCTCATGTGTCCTCAAAAGGAGTTATTGAGGCTCAGTTTATAAGTGATTTGGGGCTAGGGCTAGATAATCCTAAAAGAATTTGGGGTTTTGTTTATGGACTGTGGGGAAACCTGTATTTGTTCCTTTTTCTTTTTTTTTTTTCTCCATGGGAGGTGGGAATAACAGCAGCAACTGCTGCCATTTCTGCCCCGCCCCGTGTCTGACTTGAGATAGTAGATGCTGTTTAGAAACACCCTTGGCTTTTTGGTACTGAAGTCAATATCATCTGTGATTTCTTTAGTTGTCCTCAGCCTTAGAGGACTTGTAATCTTGCAGATTATCCCTTCAGAGAGTTTTGAATTGGGGCCATTTCTTGTCAAGGAGGTGATTCTAGATGGTGGAGTAGGGGGGGAAAATTGATACTTGGCTTCCCATCCTGGCCTTGCTGGGTAAAGGTGGTGTTTCCCTGTCAGATGGTTCTATTTTTTTTAACTTAAGCTGCCATTGTGTTCTGAAATCAGTATTAGGGGAATGGATAGTGGGCTGTTTGATGGATCCCCAGGCCTCTTGGATCTCACTGAGGAGTAAAGAAGGAAAGAGGGAGGGCACAGGAGAGACAGGGAGAGGAAAAGGAATGCCTGTGGCAAGGAGTAGCAGAATGTCAGCAACAGCTGCCACCATCAGTAACATTTGCCTAATCCAGACCCTGGCCAGGATCCCAAACCATGTTTCTTTTTTCTATTCCATAGCTCATGGCCCAAGTTGCCCAGGTTATGTTATTTTCTCTGGGGTGGGGGTAGGGAATGGGACTGAATGTCCTTTATTCCTATGGAGCCTGTGCTTGAAGTGTAACGCCAGCCAGATGGTCAGATAGGAACCTGGGCTCTGGGGGCAGGGCAGGGGGTGGGGGTGGTCCTGCAAAGCCTGGGGAAGGCAGGCTGCAGAGCCTAGCTTTCAGAGGATGTTCTCCAGGGGGAAGTCTCAAGGGAGCTTGGGAGTTGGGCAGGGACTGTGGCTGAGCCTCCCCAGCCACGAAGCTAACTGTCCTCCTCCTTTTTGTGTTTGGTTTTCAGTTGATGAAGTGAGCCCCACACCTCCTATCACTGTGACCCACAAACCAGAAGAAGACACTTTTGGGGTGAGTCACTTCTTGGTCGAGAGGAGTGTGTTAACTGGCACAGTCATTTTAAGACGTCATTTGTATTGCTAACTTTTCCAAGTATTATCTTACTTGAAACTTTGAAAAAAAAAGTAATGAATTGAACTGCATTCAGGCAGTTTAAACCTTCCTTGTTGGATGGAAATAGTTCATTGTTTGAGGAAGTCTTTGAGGATCTGCTCCAAGCCCTAGGATTCAGAAAATCCCCAGTCTGTTAGGAGCCCAGTGGGGCCTGATTTGCAGGGGCTGCTAACTGTACAAGTCTACCACAAAAGGCCAAGTTGCTCAGGGCATCTCCTTGGGTGGGTTTTCAAGCGCCCACTCCTACTATTTCAGAGCCTAAGATTACTCTGGGGAGGAGAAGAAAGGATTCTTTTTAGAGTCCAGATCTTTTCGACTTTCCTGGATAAGAATATTATATAAGGAATTTTAACTGAAGATGCAGAATTCACTTGCTAATTAAAACAAAATTAGAAGCCTCTCTAGGCTTGTTTTTGCATCTATCAGAATGGCCCCAGGTGAGAAGGGGCTCAGAACGTTGAATCATGGAACTTTCTCTAATCAAATTGGGTAATTTATGTAGCTTTAAGTGTTCTTAGGGTCTCACAGATTTCTTCTTCTAAAGACCTTACTCAGTATTGCAGTTCTGAGAAGGCTACAATTACTATGGCAGTAGGACGGTTCTTATCTGGGCACAGACATTATTTTCAAGGAACTTGGGTTTTTCATGATTGTTGCTGACTGTGTTTCTGGTTCCTCATAGGTATCCATAGCAGTTGGACTTGCTGCTTTTGCCTGTGTCCTGTTAGTGGTTCTCTTCATCATGATCAACAAGTATGGTCGACGGTCCAAATTTGGAATGAAGGGTAAGGTGGGAGTTTCATTTTCAAGGGTGTCATGGGGGGAAACATTATTGCTTTTGATCAAAAGATACTGTTTTAATCTCCCATTGCTCTCTGAGAGGGCCTCCGGTCATGGGGCAAACTCCTGTTTGCCCCTTGTTCTTGCTAATTATGGATTGAAGGCAGTGTTGGGATCTGTGGGAACCAAACTGTGGATCCACATGGTTTTGCTTTGACTGCTGATAAACATTGCTTAGATGGGCTTATGCAATGAGGATAATTTGGAAAGGAAGTTGGATTTCAGGGCAAATGAAGAGGGACTTTGGTTTATTTTCATTATTGGTGAGTAAATGGACTCCTAGTTTGAGGACATGGTTTTCCTATTGTTTTTGAAGTTGTGTTGGGAAGGCACCAGCACAGCAAGACGTAGGATAGACTCCGGCATTGAAAATCTGCCCATGCAATGGGATCTCAGCACGTAGCTCTACACAGAGTCCCAGAGTGGATGCCAAGAGCAACATGATTTCTAAATCTGCTGGCTGTCTTCCATGACATACAGTGCTCCACACCACTGTGGCAGGGTGGGGTGGTGGGATGTGGCTCTTTGCCAAAGCTCGGGTAAGGGGACTGGCATGAAAGGGGTTAACATGGTGAATTAGCATCCACCTGCCTGGTCTCAGAGATGGATGTGACCAAATGGCTCAAAAGAGGCTGGGTACCAGTTCCAAGACAGAAACTTGAATTTCAAGATGTACTTCCAGCTGGGTTTCCATGTATGGTGATGTTGGATGGGGGTGGGTAGGGAGGGACGATAAGAGGTTTGACAAGCTATCAGGTTGCTGAGCAGGGAATCAGGTTGGTGTTATCTGGTGAGACTATGGGATGTGTAGAGAGATGAATTTCTATGGGTTCTCTGCATGAGCTTGTGTCTGTGGTGGGGGACCTTGGGCTCAGGGACTGAAGAAGAGTACATGAATGGCATTCACAGGGATGGTGAACCCCTGAGTTGTATGCACATGTTGGAATGTTTGCGCATGAAACCAAACTAGTCCGTAGCTTTCACTATATTCTCAGAAGGCTCTATAGCTCCTTGAAAATTCAGAACACTGATATATAGGGAAATACCCAGAGAGGATTAGAAAGGTAGAAAACCCTGTAGTCCCAGCTACTCAGGAGGCTGAGGTGGGGAGATTGAGCACAGGAGGTCAAGGCTGCAGTGAGCTGTGATCGCACCACTGCATTCCAGCCTGGGCAACAAAGCAAGACCCTGTCTCAAAAACAAACAAACAACAAACAAAAAATGGGTACAGATTGCCCTGTTTCCAGAAGATTTCTGCCTTTGCACTCTCTGCTCTTAATGAACCTGATCAAGTAACAGCAAAGCAAGCTAGTTTTTCTTAAGTCATCTGAGATATTTTGACTAAGAGAAAGACATGTTCAGGCAAATTATAAAGATGGGATAGAAGTTTGTCTGGAAGCCAGATGACTTAAACAAAATCAGACCACTTTTAGGCACCTAGATTGGAGATGTCTTATCTGCAAACAGATAAGGCACATGCCAAACAGGGCTTTCTAGGTCTAGAAGATGAGACGACCACTGAGTAAGCGCACAGCTTTCAATCTTTGGATAATCCTTGGGCTCCTGGTTTTGAGGACTGGCACTATTATTGCCTATGCAAAGTTTTCCTACCATGCAGGGAGCTTTTCTAGCTCTTCCTCTTTCCACCTGAGAAAACATTGGGGCCTTGACCAAAGAGAAGAATGGGGCATTATTGCTCTTTCTCTGAGGAGGCGCACCACCAGCTGAGACCCTGCAACATGCTTGGCAGTGCTGTGAGAGCAGAGCAGATTTTTCCTATTAATTGTCATCCTGTTTCTGGAACAGTGTGTCCCCATGTCGGATGGATTAGGCAGCACCCAGGGTGGTGCCTCCCTTCAGCTGTCCTCAGAGCTTCCCTCTCCCAGGCAGAGCTTCTGCTCCCCTCTCCCAGGCAGAGCTTCCTTTCTTGGCCGTGGTTGGGTCAGGAGAACATGTCCACGTAGGTAGAAGTGAAATATCCTCTATTGTAAAGTCAGGCAACTTAAAGAAGTTATACTGGAGTTATAGGCAAGATGAGATGGTATATCTAAGACTCACCTTGTTTAGAATTAAGCCTGAATCTCTTTGATCTTTATGAAGCCAGATTATGTTTAGGTCTCACTTTAGGATAAATAAGTGCAAATAAAAAATAAAATTCTAAGCCCCCCAACCGTCTGAATGCATCCCTCTTCTCAACAAGGGCATCCCAAAGTTAACCTGAAAAACTAGTTCAGGCCATGATGGGAAGTGGGGAGCCATACATGCCTCATTATACCCTCCTTCTTTTTGGAATTACTGATAGAATAGACTCTTTAAGTCTGATGAGAAACATTTGCAATCTATTCTCTCTGAAGCCTGCTATCTGGAGGCTTCATCTGCATCATAAAACCTTGGTCTGTATAACCTCTTGTTGAACCTTCTTATTGAAAATAACTCTTTCAACCAATTGCCCGTCAGAAAATCTTTGAATATGCCTATGACTTGGAAGCCCCTGCTTCCAGTTGTCCTGCCTTTCTGGTCTGAACTAATTTACATCTTACATGTATTGATAGATGCCTTATGTCTCCCTAAACTGTATAAAACCAAGTTGTGGCCCAGCCACATTGGGCACATGTTCTTAGGATCTCCTGAGGGCTGTGTCACAGGCCATTGGTCACTCATATTTGGCTCAGAACAAATCTCTTCAAATATTTTACTGAGTTTGACTATATTCTTTGACTAAATGCCTCAAGCTGCATTAACCTTTGATCTTTTATTGCCAGCGAGCATCACAGTCTTGGATAAAGAGTGATGACATGGGTACCAGAAGTTCCCCAGCTTTGACTTAGGGAAACCCTCGTCTCTTCATATCCACCCCAGTCTCAGTTTTGAATTTTCAAATCTGGATGAGAATCTGTGATACCACTTAATTGCTCATTGGCTTCAGCAAAGTTATTTACTTTCTCAGTGCCTCTGTTTCCTCAACTTCAAAATGGTAATAATACTACCTCCATCACTGGGTTGCTGTGAATGTCGAGATCTATGTGTAACTGGCATATAAAAAGGCTCCATGGGAACTGTTTCTCCCTTCTTTATGTATAAACCTTTATAGGCTTCTTTTATTGCCTTCCAAGGGCTGCCCATCCAAGACTCAATCATGCCCTCTTTTGTCCTACACAATATTTAGTAAAATGCTTTTATTATACACCAGTTCCAGTACATCATCAGTTCTTTGCTGATAGACCATATGTCTGTCCTACTTGACCAGTACTGACCTATGGCAGAAACCACAGATCACTCAGCCTAGTATGCCTGAAAACAGCACACAACATTTGACAATTGCTTGTTGAACTTAGAAATGAATGACTTTAATTTTAATCATAAAAAAGTACAGCTTGTAAGTTAACAATGGGCTAGTTAGAGTTAATTGGGAGATCTGAGATGTCTGGGCAGTGGAAAGTAGAGTAATAATAATAGGGAAAACTCATAAACAATTCCCCCATCCACATCTGAGGGCCAGGTGTGTCGATGGTGGGGGAGCTACTAATAGGAGCTTTACTTCCTTCTGAGAAATAAATATAGAAAAAGACAAAGATTAATATAACAAACACCCATATTCCGTCCACCCAGAATAAATGACTTACTGTTTTGTCTTATGTTTGCATCTACTGTTGCAGTTATGGAAGATATAAAATATGACTAAAATTAAAACCCATTTAGTCACCCCCACTGGTCCTATTCCCATCCCTGTCTCCATAGGCAGCTGCTAGCCTGAGTTCAGCATCCTCCAGTCCACTTGCTGAGGCCTCTTTCTCTGTATCTCTGTCTCTGCGTGTCCCCGTAGGCTGTCTCTCCCCTCATGGCTGGCTCCCAGATACACTCACACCTCCCAGCCTGCCAAATTAGCAACCACCTCTACTACATGAAAGATGAGTGGCTAAGGCTGGTAAACAGTTCATTTTCATACTTCTACCTATATGTGTATGTACACATATATGCATATGTCTCTGTATATCCATATGTAGACACACACACATGCATATATATCAATACACTTACAAAATGCATCACTCTGTGTATATTTTAATTTATATTCAAGCTTATACTCTGAGTAACTTGCATCTTGCTTTATTTCCTTATCATACGTTGGACATCTCTCTCTGTTGGTATGTGTAGGAATTCCAATAGGAGCCCATTTTATGGGAGATGAATATGTGAACCAGATCTCATGGAAACAAACTGAACATGCTTTGTCTCAGAGCCCTCCAACTGCCATGGTGTTGATCAAAATTTTGGCTTGGGGAGGGGGTCACCTTAGGACAGAAGCCCGTTTTCTTTTGGAATCACAGAGGTTTTAAGATGGCGCTAAGTGTACAGTAGGGGTTTCTTTTTGCTATTGATAAAGTCTAATGCCTCAGAGTGGCAGGGGTGATTTGTGGAGTACTTGGCATGTCCTGGGCACTGCCCTATCAGCCAGCTCTCCTGACAGGGCAGGACCCTGAAAGTCCCTGCAGTGCTAGGAGTTAACTCTTTGATTGTCAGATCATGGGGTGGCCAGGGTGGTTGGGAGGTGGGTACTTGTGGGGTTCAGAGCAGGGGCTATTTACTGCAGCTACAGAAACATATAAAAATATTTCAGCATTTTAACAACTAACTACAGTGTACCCTTGCATCCTGGGCCTGGAAATGAGATGGTTCAGAATTTAGACCAAATTCATTCTCATAAAATATTGTTAAATTAGGCATTAAAAGATCATGACAATGATCTGCTGGGCTCTCCTGTATCCATATTTCCAGGTGAAGAAACCAAGGCCCAGAAAGGAAGTGACTTGCTTTGATTCGGCTGAGTTTTAGCTCCACCCACTTTCCACAGCAACACAAATGCTCTAAGTCCTTTATCTTGGCTGCCCCACTGTCCACATCTACAGTGCACCATCATCATTTCATGTGGTCATTAGAACAATAA